TGGGTAATGAACCATTGGGTTCGAAGGGAATCCTATCCAAACTGCACGGATAAACAATTCAACAAGACGCATGTGTCGTGGTGAAAATATGATGACAAAGAATGACAAATTTAGATTGGAATGTGTAGTGTTTTGTTTCGCTCCCGAAATCGGGTCATGTGCCATTGCCCTTTTCCTTGGGTCTGACTATTCACCCATCTTCTTACATCGCAGTTTTATATGTGTTGTTTCTCGTCGGCCTTTTTGAAATTTTGTGGCAGTACGCATGCATATACATATATCATATATATGTATAATCATGTATATTACAATCATAATCATGTATAATCATGTATACATATTTATATGATAATATATGATATGTACAATATTATGTACAATATGATCAAAATTTGGTTGCAGTGCAATCCGTTGCCACTTTTGGCCCATGTTTCCGACATCTCTGACTCTCGGTCCCCCGACGCCGTACCGCCGCAAAGTTCCGCTGGCCCAGCTCCCCGATGCGTGGCACCAGCAGTAGCACCTGTCCAGCTGCCACTCCACAGGCCTGGCTTGCAGCTGAAGTTGGGAAACATGGAGGTTTCCTGAGGTTTCCTGAAATAGGACCCCTAAATCCTCCATTTTTCATAGGATTTTCATAGGATTTTCCATGAAACCATCCAGTTGAACTGCGGGAAAATGATGAAACAAAATTGCAGGTCAATTGTAAAATGAGGGAAACATGATGAACTTTCACGAACTTGAACTGAGACCAAGATGTGGACAACCTATGTTTTTTTTGGATGAATTTGGAGTCATTGGAGACTCAACATCGGAAAAAATGGGTCATTTTGAAACTGGTCATGTTCACCTATAGTTCTATGGTCTTTATGATGACAGAGAGTTTCTTGAGGCCTAAAAATTGCTGGAGATTTGCGCAGACCAAAAAAAGATCAAGGGACACTTTGACACAGCCAGTACCTTGGGAATGTGGGTAAAACAATGTCATAAACCATCACCCAGTCATCAGCATTTTTTGGTTGGTGGTAAAACACATGTAAAAACTACCATTCCCAGTCATCACATTCCTTCAGTCTTGCAGACTTGCCACGTACCTCCAGGCTTCGTTGGTCTGGGAGTGGAGCACCATGGCGCATCAAGCGTTGTCGTTCTGCCTCACGGTGAAGTTGACGTGGGACGTTTCATCATTTTTCCCCACCATGCCAACAAAAAGTAATGGATGTTTACCAACCATCATCAAATTCAGCAGCAAAAAATGATGTCATGTTTTTTTGAGAAACTGGTAGTGTTAGAAACAAAATGGGATGTATCAACTCAGGACCAACGGTCTCTTGAAGACAAGATTTTGATGCTTCTCCATAAATGTGGATGTTGTTAACTCCCCGGAAAGCTTGGTTCCCTGAAAGAACGGAGATCTCTACCAAGAATAATGTGGAATTTCACCAATGAACTTGTGGATTTTCATCTACTGGAATGGGCACTTGTATCAACAGGAGATGTGTACCAGAAAAAAATAGGGACCTGTTTTCTCTGGCCACGGAACTTTCACAACTCGTCTTTTGATCGAACTCTAATCCATTGGCTCACTCTAATCCATTGACAGACTCTTCCGACAAAAGAGAGAATCATGGATGAAATAATGAAATAAAATTATGAATCATCCAATTTATATTCTATCATCAATCATCCAATCATCTATGATATCTATGATCAAATTATGGATGCATAGACTACACTTAGTTCCTTACAGTTCTTCTGCATGGGAACGTACGCCTTCTGCTTAAAATTGGAAAGGGCTCGACCGCACACTTGGACCCGCACTGGCATCCCCTCTAAAGTTGCCAAGCGTGCCTGGAGCCACAGCATATTCTTGTGGCTTACTGGCAGCCCACTGGGTATTTTTGAACACAGGCCATCACAGGCCCATTCAGAGGCCCATTCAGAGGTTGGTTTAATCATTTTTTTGGTCATTTATCACATGTAACCGACCTTTTTCGCAAGTACAGCTAGTAGTTTTTTTTCCTCAGCACGCCCCAAAATGGATGGTGGTTTTCCTTCGAAGAAATAGGTGTCGATCCAATGGTCCAAAAAAGGCGTCTAACTTGACTCACAGCCGTGGTGTGGGTCAAATTAGATGGTATATTATGTTTATGGTCATCCTGGCAATCCATCAATCCAAACGAATCAGTGTCATATGAGTCACATAATGTCATAGTCATAAATCCATGAAATTAGAATTATCCACATAAATCCGTTTTTTAGTCATCCCTATTTTCAAATAGGGATTGATAATCACCCCATCAATATGGACAATCATCCCTGACCATGGCACCTTCACCTCTTCAATTGTATCACTGGGCTTCACCTCAACGTCCACTCAATGCGTCCATCGGGACTTCCGGGGGGCTTTTTTGAATGCGGAAAAGCTGAGGAAAAATAAAACAAACAAGCCAGAAAAGTTGAAAAAGGTGGTTTTTGTACCATCAGAAAGGTCGGATGGAAATGTCTTGCATCTATTGGGATTGTTCCAATCATGGAGGTGCATGCAGCATCTGAATGTAACGGCTTTAAGCAAGCCGTTTGCATTTAGAGGCCTCCAACTGCAGAACAATCTCCGAGGGTGTTCGCACGAAGAGCTCAAACGGCCTGGTGTCATTAGAATCATTGGAACTGGAGATGGTCGCAGCTGATTGGGAAAGGTCATTTTGGGAATAATCAACCCCTGGTGAGATACATCCCACATAATCCCACTGTATCATGTATCAGTTTGGGGGGCTGACCTCCCTATAAAGCCAGGGTTCTTTGATCCATGCTCGACGTTTTCAATTTTTTTTCAAAAACAAAACCCCAACTCTCCCCAGTTTGGTGAGTTTCGTTTCCAAATCCTACACAGGTCCTAAGTCCAACCTGAAAACAATGACTTCATATGACTTCATATGACTTCACCAAAAAGAGCCATGGGAATTTTCCAACGATTCCAACGGTGGATCGATCTATCACTGGCTGCCCGGCAAATGTGCACCACCCATGACCTCAGAAGTCTAGCGAAAACGAGCACGGCTAGCCCCAAATTTGAACAGCTCTAAGTTGAGTTTAAACAGATTACAACATGAAACAACTCAGATTTAAAAAAAAAACTCAAACATCTCAAATAGTTATTTTTGTTCTATGTGTTTCTGTTTTTTAGTGATCTCTGGGCGAAGTGATCGTACAGATTGAAGTGGAAACCGAGCTTCGTTGCGCTGGTGGATCGCGCGGAGATGCAACTCTTGTTCCAAACAAGGGACAATGGTGATTTATGTTCGACCTGGCTTGGACATTTAGAGATATATGACATATATGAGTGTATATATATATATAATACATAATATATGTACTATATATATAATATTATATATATATAAGATTATATATAAATACGGCTGGAAATCTTGGATCACTGCGGTGTTGGCAGCTGTGGCACTGTGAGATGCTACAAATCTGGAGCGGCAATACGCAATAGGCTAGCGGCTAGCTACAGCTGTAGTACAACAAGCACAACAACAAACACCACCTCTACAAGTAAAGCAACTTCACTGTACTTCACTCAGAAAACTTCACTTTTCGCCCATGAGTCTCTACTGTGGGCCCTGGGTGCATGTGAAACAACTATGGCGCTAAAGCGGTCTGAATTCATGTGGTCAAATCACTTTCCAAGAAAGGGATGAACATGTTCGTCCGAAAGTCAATTAGCATTGATTTTAGATGACTTTCTATATCTTTCTATCGGAAACGATAGGTTGCACGCTATAATCTGAGGATAAACCATGTTTTTCACACTGAATTGGTGTGGAGAAACTGACTTGATTTGACCACATGGATGCGGTGCGACAGCATCGATGAACCTTGAGGACTCACAAACGCCTCGGCATGCGGCGAAGCGATGCGGCTTTCAGCCGAATCCCAGGAGGTTTGGGATTGTAGGAACATTAGGAACAGATATCATCTGGATTTATCTGGGAATGGTTAGATGTTTCCATAGCATCTCAAGATATCTCGAGCATCTGTTGGCAGAGAAAACTCTCAAACTGAGAACCATCCTATGGCAGTTGCAATTTCCGATCTGAAAAGGGCCATAGCAAGGCCCCTGCAATGTCGTCGGAAAAGTGAAAGGACATGAAAGGACAGTTGCCTCAGAGCAGCGTTCCTGGAAAATTCAAACCCAGAAGGGGCTGGTCGCCTGGTCGCCTGGTCGCTGTCCTGTCCAGCTTTAGCTTGGGAGTCACTGAGTCACTACTTTTGAGCCCATTTTCGTAGACCTGGACTCTTCAGTAGAAATCAACAGCCATTTCCCCCTCAATCACTTTCAAGCATTTCTTCCGAAGCTTGTGTCCACAAATGAAAGATCACCCAGCCATGGGTCAACGAAATTTCGCTGAATTCGGGTGATTTTGGACATCAAAATCCAACCCAGCACTATTCAGATGATCAGTGCAGCCCAGAGGCCAGGGTTGCAAAGAGATTACTACCTTGGATGCATGATGCATGGCATATGCTGCGCTGGCTTTGAAACGCAGATTCATTTAAGAGGTTACGTTGAATCCAAATGTACAGATATGTACAGTACATTTAGGTCCTAAGGTGTCTTTTTTGCCGTCTAAAAAGTGGAAATTGCCAAAATGAAGCAAACATAAAAGAAGAACGATTCCCAAGACTGCACCCTGGGTCAACTAACAGAACTATATGGAAAATCACCATTTTTCGTGGGAAAATTCACTATTTCTATGGGCCATTTTCAATAGCTGACTATCCCAATCATCTGATATCATCCTGTGGAGAGGTTCAAGGCTTCACCTGCAACCACATTCCTGCCATGGGTTTCGCTCCAACTGTTTACCAACCAAAACATAAAATTCTACGAGAAAAAAACTGGATAACAACGAAACTATAACGTTGAACTACCTAAGTTTATCAAGGCTTCACATGCCAACAAAACGTTTGAACAAATCAGCGTCCAAGAAACTGCCAACGCTGCGTTCCCAGGTCTTCGGTGGTTTTACCTCGACCGCGGAGTTGCGAGACGGTTAAATCCACAGGAGTGGGATGTGGACATCTTGACTCCTTGGTATTCAAAAGTTGGAACTAAACCAATTGAAACCAGATTTCAAGCCAATTTCAGAAAAGGGTGACTTTTTCCAAATAGGGTTTTTTGAGATATTTGAGTCACACTATTCAACCTTCAGAATTGTCCACCAAAGTATTTCACCAAATGAAATGAGGTCATGAAAACTTGGTGAATGTGCCAGGTGCAGAACCATGATCCTCATCGTGGTAGATCGCGAAATTTTGCGACGCAAAAGGGGCCCCATTTTGCGACGCAATTTTGTGACTTGAAAAAAACCTGAAAATCTACAGGTGGTCTACCTGGCCTACCCTAAAATAAATCGAAGGATTCCACAAAGAAATGATCTAGAAATGGTAGATTCTGGTAGATTTCCCGTAGATTTTTCATTCTTATGTTCGTTTACTGGAGGCTATTCCTTAAAATGTCCAGTGTTCTGTCCAAAAATTCCCCGTTTTCGCTTGTTTCCAGCTCAGCTCCCACACTCACCGCCGGCTTGGGAGGAGGTTGGTTGTTCTGCGCGTGGTGATACCAGGGGTGGAGCTGCCCTCTCATAATCAAAGATGACACTTGGAAATCCACTATAAATATGGAGGTTTCAATAGGAAAGTCATCTATAATCTGTAATTTTTTTGGATTTTCCATTTCCACGTTTGATTACCGGCAGGCAAGGCTTTGCATGTTTGTCTTCACCGTGGATCTGATCGGGGGTATGAAGTATGTGAAGTTCATCAACATATCTTCCGAATGGACACACCTCAAAAAAAAAACTTGTTTGGAGAAGAAAACTTGTTGGTACCCACTCGGCTATTTATCCCAGTCCCAGCTGAAGGGCATAAGAATTTCATACAAGTCATGATTCATGGTAATATTCTGTTTCTCATTGCTTCCATCCCAACAAATCTCGAGCATATCCCTTGTTCACCAAACAAGCAGCTGGGTTTCTCTTAAAATGGAATAATACTCATGTTATCCCACTGGGTATGTCGCTATTTTATCTTATTCTCCCTGAAATAACTAGCCATTGGCTGGTGGTATACACCCCAGTAGCTGCACCAACCGAGGTCGGCACATGCTGCGCATGCTGCATTTGGCCATGGGAGCCCTCAGGCTGAGGATAGTCATTGTAGTATCCTGCGCACCGAAAGAAATAGGTGATGAATAGCTCACTGAAATACACAATTTATACAGTACATGTATCTATCTATCTATATATATATAATATATATAATAAAGATATGATATAGGATAGAATGGTCCAGAAAAGCATCACCATATATCTGGAGGGTCGGAAAATCGGGGAGTGGATGCTCCTTACGGACAATTTACTGGATCAACAAGTGGGCTCAAAAATCGTTTTGCTGTCCCAGAGAATCCCCCATATTTTGCTTGAAATCCGCATCTAAAAATTTGGCATTCCCAAAGTTGAAACCCATCGAGGATCGCAACAAGGTCCTCCGTTCCCAGACCAGTAGAAGTTCTTGTCGCCACGGCCGCCGGATCCTTTGCCTCCTGCTTGCTTCTTGCTGCTGCTGCTGGGAGATGGGCTACAGTGGCTACAGCTTCGGGGATGGCAAAAAAAAATCCCCAAAGTTATGGATCTATCGATATTAATGCTGGTGAAGTAGTAATATAGATATAGATAGATTATACCAGTGTATAGATATAGATGGACCTTATTGATGATGTAGTAATATCTATCTATACTGCTTGGTGGTTTTAACCATCTTGAAAAATATGAAAGTCAATGGGAAGGATTATCCCATATATATATATATATTATGGAAAATATGAAATCTTTGAAACCAACAACCAGTATATCTATATCTATATGCTGGTGAACACCAACCATCAAGTCATGAGGGTTTACCACACATATGTTCTAGTATAATAGTGGTATGTATGTTGATGTTCATGGATGTTCAAGGATATTCATGGAAAACTTGGGTTACCCGAAACAATTCTTGTTGACGTTGACCCACAGCCAAATGTTGATCATCCAAAATTGTGCCTGAAATCCAGGTAAAATTTCGATCAATGGCTCAACTCATAGATTTCTTCTGACTGATCGAATTTTAGAAAAGAACTAGATATATCATATGACTGTTTCTTCTGGTGATTTGGAAATGAAATCTACCATATAAAATAAATATCTCCCAACAAACCGTAAAAAAATACGTAAGAAGCGGAGAAAGTTGTGTTGAAACCAACTCAGCGAGCGTTGGGCGCCTTTTCCCCAAAATGCGACGTAAGGGGCTGGCACCATTCCTTAGCTCGCTAAGTTCCGTCCAAAGAATTGCCGTGGAGATGTGGTGTCGCAATGTAAGATTGCTGACATCGCACCATGGATGGTCTGAACATGTTGGGAACGCAGCATATTTCATTGATGACCATCAATCATCAGTTTATCATTGTTTGATCATCGTGTTCCCTATTGCTATGGCTATTTGAGTGGTATATCATGTCATATGTTGTCAAACATCCTCAATATATTGTTTTCGATCTTACTGAAATAGGGCTCGACGAACCAGTGCACCCGGTGAACCCTGGCGTTGATGGTTAAAACATGTAAAATATAAGGTATTGACTCCAAATTGACTCCAAGCATGTTGTTACATTGTGGTTGGTTGATTATAACAATTGTAACTATCCAGAAGTATTGTATGAGGCTATATAATGTTATATATATATATATACATGAAATCTCGTCTCATAGTGGAACTCCCAAGCCGTTGATTGGAACACTGGAAATATGGTGGTTGGTATCAGCCAATCATCTACAGTACGAACTGCTGCAGCTGGGCATGATGAATATCCCAATTGTTGTTGGAACTTCAATTAACCCCAGATCATTCATAATTCTGGTCTTATCTATGCTTCTTGCAGCTTTTGTTAGACGGATCTATATATATATATATATACCTAGATCTTCCAAAAGGCTGTTATTTCAGCCTGCGATAAAAGGTCAGCCTTTTCTTCGTTCGGGCTGATATTTCAGCCTGCGGGCTGAAAACCCAATTCGGGCGAATATCTCCACTGAACAAACAGTGTATCAACATCTATGATAATCTTCTCTACTGGCACCGTCCTTTGCTTTTTACCTCAGCCAGCTAGTGATCTGTGCTGGCTGCAGAAAATTTGGTTGACGGCTTCTAACACGTTTTTTGGCAATTTTGTTGGTTTTGCGTCGGGCGAAATTCGGCATCAAAAAGGCAAAATCTCGCGTCATTCAGGCGAAAAAAAGCGAAACACTAATTCCACATAGCCTGGAACATCATTGTTTCCCATTTGTGATCCACCTAATTTGAATATATGTTGCTCATCTCTATGACAGTCCAACGATTGATTATCAATCCACTCTAAACATCTATCCTGCTGAATAGGGCCAAAATAGCCAAAATCCATTCGGGCGAAAATTTGAGGCTTACAGGATTCGGGCTGAAATTTCAGCCTGAAAGCATTCGGGCTGGATTTTCAGCCTGCGGAAGATCCAGGTATATAAACCTATTGAAAGCTATACCTGGAACTTCTAAGAAACCAATTCTTTTCTAGTAGTGCTGCACTTTAGGGCACTTTAAGGCATTTTGGAAGTTTTGAGTATTTTCGGTGTTTGGAGTGTTTCTTGTGGATTTTTTGTGAATGTCTTGTCGTTTTGTGCGGCTGTTTTGTGAGCCATTGGTGGTGTTTTTTGGAGATTGGAGTTTCAGGTAAAGTGTGGGAGAAACTGAGGTTGTACCGAGGATGCGTTTGCTGATTAAGAAACAAAGATGGTATAATTAATTAATCCGCTTTGATCATGATCCAATATATATCCAATATATATCCAACATATTCAATATATATATATATATATCCCACATATGAAGGGTTTCAGTGTAGTGCTTCCAGCCTCCGTTTTTTTCGCAGCAATGGATCTTAATGGACGATGTCCAATCTATATAGGTCTGAGGTATCGACCCCAGTATCCGTTGCGCCAATTCCAATCAGGGTTACGGCCTCAGCAACCGCAGCGTGACTCAAACGTGACCGTTTAAGGAACTGGGGGGCCTCTCCAACCGTTTGGAAAAGAAACCAGAGAAACATGGAGAAACCTGCCAACATAGAGTCTGGTTGAGTACTAAAACGATGACATATAATTAGTTTGAGTTTTATTGTTGTTGGTAATAAATTATATACACATATTAAGTGAAAAATCTTAAAAAATACTTTAATATTATATTGACCATTTGAAAGGCAAACTGTAGAATAATTAGAGCATACCTGGCCAGATACTGTAATATATATGACAAGTCTGTTTTGATTGGTTGTTGAGGATTGACAAAAAATATTCCCTAAATATAAAGAGCGTTAGTAATTAATCAAACTGATTATAATTTCTGTAATGCTAGGTATTTAGATAATTATTACAAAATCATGTGTATACTTAAGAGCAGCTTTGAAACAAATTTTTGTTTGGAAAAACTTAACTAAAAATGAATTATATAAACATATTTTTGTGGCAAATAATACTCCTTTTTATACTGATAGTCAAGAAAAAATAGACCAAGGACTACAGCTTATATATTTAAAATTCATTAAAATTCATCAATACATGAGCATTGGGGTTATTGCTTTTATGCGTTTCTGCTTTTTGCTGTGCAGAAATTCCTGCGTTGAAAAATCTTCTATTCACTGTCAAAAAGGTTTTAATGAGTTGTCATTTTCTGTCTTCAACGGCAAATTTCACTCTGAACTTAAGCATCGGACCTTCTGCTGCATACCCGTTGTAATAACCTGCCAAGGCAGAATTATTGAATCTACGACGTGAATAAAACGTGGAAATTTTGGCCGAATCTTTGTCAAATGCAGTTTTAGACCTGTTCACCCTGTGGAAAGGTCAATTTTTTAGTATCATATAGT